TTATAATACCTTTTTTATGTTTTGCGTAGTTAGAAAAGTTTAACATATTTGAAACAATTCTTCTTAGTAAAATAAACAAATGAAATAATTAAATCATTGAATTACTATAGAAATTAAATTAAATAGATAGAAATCAACTAAAAAGGTTAAAAATACTTTATGACGAGGAAGCGAAACTGCTTCACAATATCGCTAATGATGTTTAGTAAATGGGCTTTTTAATTTTATTTAGTATTTAAAGCAGAAAAAAGTATAACGAGTTTTTATAAACAGCAACTGAAGCGAAAATAATTAAAGTTAGTAAAACAATATCTAGAAACTTTTTTTTATATTTAATATTTTGCTTTATATATTTGTGTTCTGTCGTGACCTCAGGCGCGGTGCTTGTTCATCCGCAAGTTACTTTGTATGCATTGTTTGTGTTTAGTAACCAGAAACTTCTTATATGTTTGTTACATAATTAGTTTTATTAATTTTAACGATTATTAATAACTTCATTAAAAACGCAATTATTTTTGTATATATATTATCCCATTCCACTTTGATCCTCCACGGTATTGTTTTCTTAATGAAACTTTTTTTTTTTAATTTTAGATAAGTATTTTTACTCACTCCACTCTTTTAAAGGTTGACATTTTTACTTTTTTTGAGTTTTTAAAAGCATTTTCAAACAATCAGCGCAAATAGAAATTTACAAATCATTAACTATATAATAACGTCATTACAAATAATGGAAGGTTTTTTATCTATACCGATTGTTCGCATTTTTATTTCTATTATTTTTGTTAACTGGTGGTATTTTAAAAATGCACAAATTCATTATGAAATGAAAAAAATGTGGTTTTTAAACACGAAAAGATTGAGGCCCAATATACAGCAATTAAAAAGTCTTTGTTTACAAATTAAATCATAAAAATTGCGCAAAACCACGTAGTTTAATATTTGTATAAGTTAGAACATCACATGATGTTGTTGGTCGTAGACTCTTTTTGGCATAACATCAACTTCAGCTCCAGTGTTAATTTTTACACGTACCAATTTATTATTAGTTTTAAAGAAAATCAAAGCTTCATTTTTACTATTCATTTTACCAGATGATTCCACATGGTATTCTACAGCACAATTTTCGTGTATGTTTTTCGAGTTGCAGCAAGTTGCCTAATGATTTATTTTATTACATTTACGGCATGTTTGACTGAATGCAGGACATTTGCTTGGTTCATGTTTTCTGTTGCATTTCTTGCACTGTCCTTGTTGTTGTTTTTTATTTGATCCATTATTGATTTGTTTCCAGTTTTGTTTGTTTGGTTCAACCCGGTCTTTGCCTTTTGACTCGTTTTCGTTATTTGAGAATTTTCTCCAATTTGGTATTTGCCCGATTGACACGTTTGCTTGTCTTGGTTTTATAAATTTCTTTACCACGCCAATATCTTTTTCGTATGTAATTTGCTTCATTTCTGAATTTGCAACTTCTTCAGCTCTGCATATGTCAATCGCTTTAGTTAAAGTTAAATCCGCTCCTTTTCTAATTAGATTAATTTGGACTTTGTTTGATTTGATTCTGTCACTTATTTTGTATAATATCAGACCATCTTGAATGTTTTCAAACTCGCATATTTGAGCCAGATTTTTTAAATCAGTTACAAAGAAATCAAATGATTCATTGAGGTCTTGTTTTTGTAAGAAAAACTTTCTTCGTTCCAAAACCAGATTTCTTTTCGGTAAACAATATTCTTCGAATCTTTCAAAAAGTTCTTTTACCGTGATGTCATCCATTTCACCATCGTCATTTTCTATTTTGTTCCAAGTCCATGTATTGAATATTTCTCTTTCTTTTTCACCGATCACAAATAAGAATGTCGCGTACTTTTCTTCCTCAGATTAATTTGTCATTGCTGCTTTTAGATACAACTGCATAGTTTGTTTCTATTTTTTCCATGTAACAGCTTTATTGGATTCATTGAAGTCCATTTCGTTTGGCTTTGGCAAAAAGTGTTCCATTTTCTTTTTAAAGTAAACACTTTTCCAAAATCTCTTTTTAAAATGCCTTCAGTTCACTTCTGGTACCATGTAATGTTTTGTCTTTATATTTATTATAAAGAAAATTCGACTATAATTTTTATTTCATATTTATTTCAATATTTTCATATTAAATTATCACAACTAGTTTAAATATAACCCTCTGTACAGTTTCGCGTCGAAACTTCAACTGTATTTAAATTCAGCGCACTGGCTTTTAAGCGAGAATTCCTCGCGCGGAATTCTCTCAAGAGAATACTTTTGTTATAAGTTTTTGTGCAATTTGCAAATAGGAATTGCTTGTTTTGCAATTGCTAATTGCTAATCTGAATTGTTTTGCGTAACAATCATTACACTATGGTATGATAAAATGATTTTTTTTAATAAGGTTATTGTTTAAAAGTATTTTAAAATAGTTTAAAAAAGTAGTTTTGGAGTTTAGTATATGTTTTCATAACTTTTTTGCTTTTTTTTTTTTAAATATGAATCTGAAACATGTGACTAAACATCTATAAAATATTGGCAAGCTAAATCATCTAAAAGTATTCCGCACCACACCATTTCACACCACATTATTTCTTCATTCTTTGAGTTAGGAACAGTTTGAAATTCATTTGTACTGATTAGGCTAATTATGTAATAATAATTATAAAACAATTGACTGTTTATAATATTGTTTAGCCTGAATTGGCTCTTGTTTGAAAAAATAACGTTAAACAAGTTGAAATTTTATTCAAACTTTTACAACATGATATAACAAAACTCCATTCTTTTTGTTAAAATCTTCTTGTTCTTTACTTGATTTAAAAGATTAAAATTTTTACTCTGACTTTCAAACAAATAGATGGTTGCTATGGCAAACAAATAGATGGTTGCTATGGCAAACAAATAGATGGTATTGCTATGGCAAACAAATAGATGGTATTGCTATGGCAAACAAATAGATGGTATTGCTATGGCAAACAAATAGATGGTATTGCTATGGCAAACAAATAGATGGTATTGCTACAGCAAGAACAGGAGCTAGTGGGTTCCCCACTAGCTCCTGTTCTTGCTAATTTATTTATAGGTCATTTTGAAGAAAATTGGCTAAAATCATACAATGAAGTCAAACTTGTAGTTTACAAACGTTATGTTGATGACATTTTTGCCACATTCCCATATAGGCAAAAATTCTTGCCACCTCAAAACACAAATGATTAACACTAAAGAAGAGACAAAAACTTACACATATACAAACATTTCCATGCAAACAATGTTGTTTCTTGATATTGGATTCTGAAGTTAAAAAAATAAAATAAAAAACAAAAAAAACAATAGTTAAAAACAGTACACGCAAAATTTTATTTTATTATAGCACCATTTTTGAAATTTTTTTGTTTGTTTGTTTTGTTATAATGATCGATGTTATCAAAAAACATTATTGGGTCAAATCATTATATTTCAACCAATTTGAAGAAAACTTTGTGGGTTACCATCTCTGATTTTCCTGATTTTTACATATTGTTATGTGCATTATGTAGATAGGTTAAATTTGAAATTTCAGACTTCCAAGTACAACGGTTCAGAAATTATAGCCTTAGAAACACGACACAGTGCCCCCCCCCCCCTAAATTTACAAATGGTCAAAACAGACAACTTTAGTCTTTTATCTGTATAACTTTTTTCTCACTTTCAACGAGTGTCTCATTTTTTCTAGAACTATTTTCGGGATAGTTCTCTCTTTTAAAAAGTGGTTTTTATTAACTTGTGTTAAATTAGAAAAAAATTATGACCTCCTCAACTTTGGAAAAAGTCCTAAAATTGCTAAAATATGCCAAAATGAAACTAACTGCAAAATGTCCACTTAGCTAAAAAGTCCAATTTTGAACCATTTTGAGATGCTTGTAAATTTTTCTAACACTATGTTTTGATCTAAGATTAACAGCATATAAAACCATTAGACCCAACTATTTGAAAATGCAAACTTGTCAAATCCACACCAAAAATGCAAGCATTTTTAAATAACTCTATTTTTCAAATATCAATAGTTGAATGTGTTACTAGAAACCAGTGCCCCTCTAACCTGCCAACTGTCCTATGTGAAGGGTGTAACTAATCGTAAGTCATTCCATAATAACAAGAAAGATATGATTAGTTGTCCTCTCCTTGATCTGGTCCTTATAGTAGATAGGGGCACAAACAAAAGGGGGTAGTGACCTTTTAGAGACCTTCATTATGGTTCGAATGAAGGTCTCTAAATTAATTTAGATATTTAGATACTTGATATCTAAATATCTAAATTAATTTCAAAATGAAACCATTATTTCTTTAAATTCTTTTTTTTTTTTTGGCAATCAGTGGTCTGTATGTGGTCTGGACCCCCCCCCCCCCACTCACCAAGGTGAGGGGGAGGGGTTTGGGGTGGCACCAATCAAAGAGAGAAGGGAAATGTCGATAAATAAAATAAAAAAACAAAGAAAATTTTATGACATCAAAATCACAACAAGCTAATATGCAAAGCCGTTTTTTTTTTAAAACAAGGCCTGAAATAATATATTTATATACAAAGTTGACAATCAATATCATGATTTTGTATGAATACATACATAAGCTGTATATCATATATCTTGTAACAGTATATGCATGATACAATTCAAAATGTATTACATTTCATGGCATAATAGAATATATTATAAAATATAATAAGTGTCACAGTATACATTAACATTTTTTTATGTTGTAATAAATCAAATAAATGTTAGATAAATATACTTAAAATAAAATTTACGTTCTCAACACTATAAAAAAACTAATAATTTAAAAAAGTATTCTTATTTTCTAATTCACAACCATAATTTGTTGTGCGTGTTTTTTAAATTATAATTAGTTCTTTTTTTTTTTTCAATTAAATAGTAATTTATAACTTTTTAAACTTTAATAAACTATAAAATTAAAAAAATGTTATAAGAATTTTTTCAAATGTGAAAAAGGAAACTTACTTTCTGAGCAACCATAGACTTCAACTTGAACACAAAATGGTGTTTTGTTAAGCAAGGATATAAACTGTAACAACTTGACTGTAAATGAATTTTCCAAAAACCAATGTCGTGTAGTGCCATTTTTTGGACTGTCAAATGTCTAAATACAAAACAAAAAATGAATAATAATTTATATTCTTATTGTTTTAAAAATCAGTGGTTCAATGACTCCATTATTTTTTTAAATTAATGGAGTCATTTAAAAAAAAACAATTCATTTGAGCAGCAACCATGTTTTAAAATGAAAAAAATGAAAAAGACAAAATGGTCCAACTAGATGACCTCAAGTATTTTTAAAAATTTTATAAATTAGAAAAGTTAATAAAATCGAATAGATGCAAAAACTCATAGAAAAGATGAAAAATTAAATTTTATTTTATAATTTAATAATAATAATAATAACTTGGTAATAACTTAATTAGTGATATGAGATTAATGGTACAAACCATCTAAAGGAAAAAAAAGCAACAAAAAATACCTTTAGACAAAAAAACAAGTGCAAAAAAAGGATAGTTAATAGCAAAGTATGTTATTCTAATCAAACTTTATCTAAAATAATGAATAAAAAATAAAGAAAAATCTTTTATAGTGTTATTAACAAATCTCTTTTCCATCACACAAAGTGTAATGTGGACAATATAATTAAGCAGATATAAAAAATTATGTAAAAAACATAATAATGTAAGTGTGGGTATAACAGGTAATACAGATAATATGCAATTACATTCTTAGTCAACATCATCTTTTATTATGAACTTAGCAAAATTTTAAATAAGAAAATTTTATGTAGAAAAAAAAGAAAGTAGTGAGACAAAATTGATACTTTATGTATTGAATAAATGCTCTTGCTAAAAAAACTTGTGTTGCATTGGCTTTGAGGAAAAAATTCTTTGAGCTTCACGCAAAAAAACAAATATCTCTTGATGATAACTTACAAAATAGTAAGCAATACATAGTTTAGTTTTTTTTTTTTTTTTTATTTATTTGCATTCACTCCCAACAAGGCTGCAAGCAACCACTATTAAGTTGGGAGTTACTAGGAAAAAAAAAAGAACAGAGTTATAGAGCAAGGAAACGGTTGACAGAAGACTTGAAAAGTTGAAGGAAAACATGAAGATGGGAGAGAGTTCCAAAGGATTGAAGTGCGGGGAAAAAAACTAGATGAATAAAAGTTTTTAGAGCATGCAGGGACAAATACAGTAAATGAATGAGACTTAGCTGAATGACCAGTAAAGCGAGAATGAATTTTAGTTGATGGAACTAGAGATGATAACTCCTTTGAGCAGTGACCATGATAGTATCTGTAGAAAAGAGAAAGAGATGCAACTTTACGACCATGGGAAAGAGGTTCAAGCTTAGCAGATAGTCCAGGTCCAACAACATTTACAATGCGTTTTTGGACCTTGTCAAGAAGAGAAAGTGAATCGTTAGAAGAACCAGCCAAAATATGACAACAGTATTCCATACAGGGACGAATAAGAGATTTGTAGAGGTAGAGAATGGAATCAGAAGTAAGGAAATGGCGAGCACGATAAAGAGAAGCAACCTTAGCAGAAGCTAATTTAACAATCGATTATATATATGGTTTCCATGAAAGGTCAGTAGTAAGCGATAATCCAAGAAGACATAAAGAGGACGACTCAGTAAGAGGATTGCCATTCATTAATATAGGAATGTTGACCATATTACGGTAGTTGTTTGCAGTAAGCAATTGGGTTTTTTTAGAGTTGAAATTCACAAGCCACTGTGAACCCCAATCTATTACTGAAGTGAGATCAGATTCAAGATCAGCTGCTTGTTCTAGGCGATCGAAAAGAGAAGACTTTTTGTCAAGACAGGAGTATAAAGTTGAGTCATCAGCAAAAAGAGCTACTTTAGATAAAAGGTTGTCAGGAAGATCGTTTATGTAGATAAGAAACAAAACAGGGCCCAGGATGGAACCTTGGGGAACCCCAGATGTTACTGGAAATAAAGAAGAGTGTTGGCCTTCAAGGATGACTTTAATAAACCGGTCAGAAAGAAATGATTTGATAATCTCAAAAACTTTCCCAGAAACACCATATGAAGCAAGCTTATGGAGAAGACCAGCATGCCAAACTTTGTCGAAAGCTTTAGATATGTCGAGAGCAATAGCCCTAGCCTCACCGCCTCCATCTAATGCACGATAAAATCTTTCAGTTACAGCAGTTAGCAAGTCGGCCGTAGAGCGAGAGGATCGAAAACCGTATTGATTGTCTGACAGCAGTTTATTTGACTCAAGATGAGATGTGAGGAATTTGTTGATCAAAGACTCAAAGACCTTGCTAATAACAGAAAGAAGACTTATCGGACGATAATTGGAGGGGTCAGAATTTTCTCCAGAGTTTTTGAATATTGGAACCACAGATGCCATTTTCCAACAAGCAGGAAAACAAGACTCAGTCAAACACTTGTTAAATAGTTTAGAGAGAATTGAAGAAAGTTCTAGAGAACAATTCTGCAAGACTGTGACAGGAATGTTGTCTGGACCACAAGCTGTAGACGAGTTTAATTGAGATATGACTTTAGCAACAGAAGCCGGAGTGATTTGAATGTCTAACAATGGGTCAACCTGTTTGACTGGAATGGAAGGAAGAGAATGTCCATAAGATTCAAGAGTGGAATTAGAAGAAAAGTTCTTTGCAAACAGTTCTGCCTTATCCCTGGGTGAGGTAACAAGATCAGTCCCATGAATGAGAGATGGAATGTTAGATCTACCCTTGTTAACAATGCTGTTGAAGATTTTCCAAAAGTCTTTAGAGCCTAACTTCTGCGATAAGATGCGAGATTTAGTGAACTGAGAATAATGGAGTTTAGCATCAGAAAGCACCTTTTTACATCGATTTCTTGCAATAATAAATAGCCGTTTGTTCTCAAGAGAGTTGTTCTTTTGAAAAAGATGAAAAAAATGGTTACGATTGGATATAGCAGCCGCACAAGAAGGAGAAAACCATGGAGTAGAGTGAGGCTTGACTTGAAACCTACGAGAAGGAATAAAAGCTTCTATTCCAGCCTGAATCCAGGAGGTCCATATGAGTTTCTTAATAAGATATTGAAATAAAAAAAAAATAATTTAATTCTCTTTTAAAACATATATATATATATATATATATATATATATATATATATATATATATATATATATATATATATATATATATATATATATATATATATATATATATATACATATATACATATATATATATATATATACATATATACATATATATATATATATATATATATATATATATATATATATATATATATATATATATATATATGTGTGTATATATGTGTATATATATATATATATATATATATATATATATATATATATATATATATATATATATATATATATATATATATATATATATATACAGTTAATTTATAGTAAGACAAACACTTGAACTTTTGCTATCTCGAACTATTTCATTTGGTCACTTGAAACTTTTTTTTTTTAAAACATCTTTACTTTCAACAAGGCTGCAAACAACCACTATTAGAGTTGGAACTTATTGGAAGATAACAATTGACAAACGACTATAAAAACTGCAAATTATATGAACCAGAAAAACAAGATGAAGGAAGCAAATTCCAAAGAACTGATGTTCATGAAAAAAAACTAGACAAATAAGAATTTTCAAAGCACTTTGAAACAGTAATAAAATAAGACTTAATTGAACTGCGAGTAATACAAGAATGAATTTTAGTAGATGGCACAAGAGATGCTAGCTCTTTAGAGCAGCGCCCTTTATACTTTTTTTAGAAAAGAGAAAGTGAAGCAACATTACAACAATGTTATTATGGTTGGAGCTCGGCTGCAAGAGTAGGTTCAATTATGTTTACAATATGTTTTTGCACTTTCTCTAAAAGAGAAATGGCATTATTGGAAGATCCACCTCAGATATGGCAACAGTATTCCATACAAGGACAAATTTGAGATTTATAGAGATAAAGAATAGAATCCAGAGTGAAAAACACAATAAAGAGATACAACCTTAGCAGATGCTAATCTCCCAACCGATCAGATATATGGTTGCCAAGACAGATCTGAAGTGGAAATTACTCCTAGAAGATGAAGGGTTGATGACTCATTGAGTACATTACTATTTATAAATATAGGAAGATCTATATAACAATTAGCTGAAAAAAATTGAGTTTTATCTGAGTAAAAGATCACCAGCCACTGAGAGCCCCATGCTGTTGGCTTCTTATCATGAAAAGAATAAATGGTAGTATTATCAGCAAAAAATGCCACCTTAGATGCAACAATTTCTGGGAGATTGTTAATTTAAATTTTAAAAAGTACAGGGACAAGAATAGAACCTTGAGGAACCCTTGAAGTTAGAGGAAATGAAAAAGAGTGCTGTCCACCAAAGACTTTTAAACTACGATTGTTAAGGAAGGATTTAATATTCTTAAAGATGTTACCTGATACGCCATAAGAAGAAAGCTTATAGTATAGTAGTATAGCATTTATTTACTGGAAGGAGATAACTCCTGGAGCAGGGCATAAATACAAGCCCTGCTATTTGCAGTGTAAGCAGGTAATTTTGTACATTGTACATTTTATGTAATAATTAAATTATTCTTATCTAAATACTTTTTATAGAGAAGACCAACATGCGAAACTTTAACAAGGGCTTTAGAAATGTCCAGAGCAAAAGCCTTAACCTCTCCACATCTATCTAATGCACAATAAAACATATCGGTTATAAACGTTAACAAATCAGCAGTAGAACGAGAAGATCATTACAATACATATTGATGATCAGAAAGTAAGCTTTTAGATTCAAGATGAGAGATTAAGTGATTTTTAATTGAAGACTCAAAAACCTTGCTTATGATAAGAAAATGACTAATGGGATGGTAGTTGATAAATCAGATTGCTCTCCAAAATTTTTGAAAATAGGGATAACAGATACCACTTTATAGCAGATTGGAAAACAAGACTCTGATGTGCACTTGTTAAATAGTCATGAAAATTAAGGACAACAGCTCCAGAGAACAATTTTGCAATATTTTAACAGGTATGTTGTCCGGACCACAAGCTGTAGAAGAGTCTAAGGAGGA